CCCCCCCAGCCCCCAGCCCCCTCCCAAGCCTTTGTTAGCCATGCCTAGCCTGGTAGTCCCAGGGATAATGGAAAGGAACGGGGGTTTCGGCGATTTAGGCTGTTTCGGTGGGAGCGGCAAAGACAGAGCGCTGCTTGAGGATGACCGGGCGCTGCAGCTCGCCCTGGACCAGCTCTGCCTGCTGGGGCTAGGCGAGCCTTCCTCCTCCTCCTCCTCCTCGGCCGTGGTGCTGGTGGAGGACAGCAACAACAACAACAATAACCCGCCGCCGCCGCCGCCGCAGCAGCCCCCGCCGCCGCCGCCGCCGCCGCCGCCGCCGCCCCCGGCGGCCCCGAAGGGCTCGGCGGCGCCCAGCGCCGGGGCGGCGGAGCCCAAGTTGTGCGCGCTCTACAAGGAGGCCGAGCTGCGGCTCAAGAGCAGCTCCAACACCACCGAGTGCGTCCCGGTGCCCAGCTCCGAGCACGTGGCCGAGATCGTGGGACGGCAAGGTGAGCGCCGGGCCCCCGGTACCCCCCGATCTGCCCCGGTGGCGCCGCTCGCCGGCCCCGGGACACTCCCCCGCGGCCGGGGGGCCCCGCCGCTCCCTCCCGCCCATTGTTCGGGGCCGGGGCCGCTCGGTCCCGCCGGGGACAAAGCCCCGGGGCTGGCGGGCTGTGGGCGGGTGGCCGCGCTCCCGGCACGGGGGTTTTGGGATGGGGAGGGGTCTGTGGGAATGCTGCCGGGGCTTGTCCGGCTGCCGGCACCGGAGCCCCGCGCGCCGCTCCCCGGTTCTGCCAAAGAGCAGATCGCGACCGCGCTCTCCTTAAGGAAAAAATAAAAAAAATAAAAAACTGGGAATAAGGCGGGGGAAGGGCGGGGGGTGCAGGCTGAGCCCGGCCCCGCGCCTCGGAGTCCCCCTTTGTTGGCCGGGCGGAGGGGGTGTGGTGGTGCCGGGGCTCGCTCCGAGCGGCCGGTGGAGCGGGTGGGAGCCGAGCTCCTCCCGCCGCCCCCGGGAGAGGAGGGACCCCGGAGCCGGGGGGACCCCGGAGCGGGACCCGCCGTCCCGCGTGGGCCCCCCGCAGCCGCTGCCCGCGCGCCGCCACAGTGATGCTTTTGTTCTCACGGCTCCGTTCGGAGCGAGGTGGAATGGAGGAGGGCTTTAAAAAAAATTACATGTATATATCTATCTGTAGATATATATATATATATCTCCATACCACACCCACTCTTAAGTCACCCCTCGCCCACCCCCACCACTCCCGGGTGTGCGGTGCGGGGCCCCGCGCCTCCCGTGGGCACTGCGGGAGTCGGGGCACGGCGCTGCCGAGAGAAGTTTTGTGTCGCTACAGAGAGAAAAAAAAATAATAATAGTGCGGCTAAGTGTTGGGCTTTTTTTTTTTTTTCGTTTTTTTTTTCTTTCTCTGAACAAGTAACTTGACGCTCTGGAAGTGCGATGGGCAGAGCCTGCGGCTGCATGGGCAGATGCTCCCCTGTGGGTTGGGATCGAAGGGCCCAGAGCAGGGGGTTTGGGGCGGGACCCGGGGGGTGATGACCCCCAGCACCCCGAGAAGGGCTGAGGTGGGCAAGGGGAAGCCGCGGGGAGAGGGACACAAATGGCTCCTTGCTGGACATCTCTGACGCTAGGGCGTGCGGTTGGAACAATGGGGCCTGCGGAGGCTCCGCTCGCTCCCAGCCCTGGGGCCAGGGTCCGCTTCCCACGCACCCGTCCCGGTTCTCCGGGGTGCAAAGTGCAGGAGCCCGGGGGTGCTGACCTCCCCAAAACTCGGGGCGTCTGCAGCCGAGGGTGCAGCTCTTGCTCTGGCGTTCACAGAGGGATGGGGGCCCCTCGCTGGGGGCCTGGAGGCAGGAAGGGGTGAGGGTCTGGCCCAGGAGATCCCACTGGCCCCGATGCTGACCCTGCACCTTGCCGGGAGCGCAGCGCGGGCAGGCTCAGCCCCAGCTCTGCGCTGGGCTGTGTGTGAGGCCGTGGAGAATCAGGCCCCCTTTGTTTAATAAAGTTGGGAAAGAGGATTGGGCAGGCGGAACCAAGGGGAGATGTGCCAGGGCTGTTTTCTTCCAGGACCTCGCTGCTGGAGAAGGGGGTGTGTTTCGATGTGTTCAGAACGCAGCACGTGCCTGTTGTGTCCAGAGCGATGGAGTTCGACGTGCAGACCTGGATTTTTTTTTTCCACCTTTTTTTTTTTTTTTTTTTTTTTTTTGCGTGTCTGAGGGTTTTCCCACATCTGGGAAGCTGAAATGTCAGTGTGCTGGAGCTGTGGGGGATGCAGCTGTGGCTGTGCTCCTTTGGCTGCTGGGGCAGATGGTGCAGCCTGTGCCCCACCGTGGAGGTGGGTGGGATGGATCCTGTGCTGGGGGTTCCTTCAGCACACTCCAGCACAGATCGTGGCCCACACTTGTTTCTAAAGGCCTGTAGGAATGTCTCCACTGTCTCTCGTGCCTTGTTTTTGTGTCGAAAACCGGATTAAGAGGGTCTGGAGCTGGGTGTGGGGCTCCCAGGGGGATTGATTCCTGGACTCGCATGGATGCCTGACCAGGAATGCCAGAATGCCAGATTGTCATCCCTCGGTAGTACTGCTCCTGTTGCAGATGGTTTTCTAGGAAAACAATTGTTTTTATGGGTACCTGTGAACAGGGTGATAAACATCTTGAAAAAGGGAGGGGGGAAAAAAAAGTAATGATGAAATAAAAATTATTTCACGGCTTTTTTTGGTAACAGAGTTTAGCTTTTTCTTCAACTTATTATTTTCTGAAGAAACACACTATCCCTTCAGATTATTTTATAATAACATCAAATGTCTATTAAAGTGTTCCTCAGGCAGGTGTGGGTATGAGGGGCCCTGGTGCACACACCTGGCCAAGGGAATTCTACCTGCTATCAGGCCACCCCTCGCTTTGCCAAAGGAGTGAAAAGGCATTTAAGTGTAAATAAGGCTCAAGCCCGATGTATTTCTGTTGGAATGTGTGTAAGGGTGGTTTGTGAAGGGGTGTAATCGTGGCAGGGGGGGTGGCTTCACTCCAAGCAAGGATGCTGCAGGAGCTCAACCTGAGCTTGGCAGCTCCTGCTTTCCCCAGGAGCTGTGAACGTGCCCTCGAGGAGCCAGTGGCCTGCTGGAAGCCCTGCTCCAGTTTGTGCTGGGGCTGCTTTGTGTGCTGAATTCGAGGGGTGGGGGGGGACTGCCTGGGGTGAGGTGGGGGGCTGTGGAAAGGGGGTGAGGTGGGAACTGGCCAGACTGGCTCCTCCGCGTGGTGCCCCGGGGTCCGTGGCAAAGAGCTGGGTGGCTGGTGGGCTGCTTTGCAAACTGGAGGGCAGGAAACTGGAAAAGGAAGAATGAGGGGATGAAGTCACAAGAATCCCTTTGACTGGTGCCTCTGACCCCTGGGCACGGCTGCTAGTGGAGCCGTGACCTCCACGCCTGTCTTCCTGTTGCACTGAGGGGCAGGGGTGATTCTGCCTGACTCAGGGCTCCTGCAGGTCATCCCCCCTTCCCCTGGCATGTGTGTGAACTGCAGCTGTGCTGAGTTTGGGTGACCAAACCTCCTCGGTGTGTGCCATGGCACACACAGTGCTCCCCGGGGCCTGCGTGGCACGTCAGGGTGCTTGGTGGCTCTTGTGTTTCTCCTGCCAGCTCGGGTTGTGGGTCTGCCTGCAAGAGCCTGTCCATGGCTGTGCTGGCTCTCACGGCCACGCCGATGAAATTGGAAAGACAAAGCACTGGAGGGGCTCACAGCAGGTTTTTTAGGAGATGGTGGGACATCAAGGGATGAGGTGTGGTGCTGGGAGGAATGGAGAGTGTCTGAAGGGCATCATGTTTTGGTTGTGCAGGCTGTAAAATGAGGAAGGGGCAGAAATCATCAGTCGCTGCAGTTCTTCCCTAGAAGCGACCCGAGGTGGGTGTGGATTACCCAGATCAAGATTTGTATCCAACTTTTGTGCCCGCTCCCACAGACAAGCTGGGCTGCTGTCAGGGGAGAGGCTGAAGGGCACATCTGGGGCCAGATGTTGTGGCTGGGGAGACGTGGTGCTGCTTCTTTGTGTGTCTGGCGTGTGCAGGTGTCAGGAGAAGGTGTGGGGTTGCTTTGGCTTCGTGCTGCGCCCACTCCCAGATAAGACTTTCCCTATGAGGATTTTTGGACTCTTTAAGGAATTTTGGTCCTTCTAAGGGTTCTTGGTCTCATCACGGTAATAGCATCCATTGTCACCTGTACTCACAGACACCCTTTGATGCAGCATCTCGCAGCCTGCTCCAACCAGCCTGTTGTCACCAGGAATGAGATTATGCGAGAGAGGATCTTAACATAAATTGCTCTTTCTTGGCAAGGTGAAGTCAAATAACAAGAGGCTCCACTAAACCCCAGGTGATTGGGTTCTTTGTGTAGCTCCAAACATGCTCCAATGCCTTCAGCATTTAAAAATAGTCCGAGGAAGCCTTTTCCATTGAGGAAGTCTAATGATGGCAGCTCCCCCACCCACCCTGTGGAGGTGGATGTATGTACAGCATCCGAGGAGCAGCCAGGGGGGCAGATCTTCTTTTTCTCCTTGCTTCACCGAAATCTTGGATGGTCTGAAGGCAACCTCTGCTCCGGCAGCTCGGGATGGGCCCGAAAGGAAAGAGATATTGCAGCGGGTTGTTACAAAGTGTTAATGAGAATCGCTCTGAATTTACACCGGGGGAAAAGTGCGGAGCGGGATCGACTTTGTGCCGTTTGAACCGGGGGTGGGAGGAGGAGGAACGGGTCTGGCAGAGAGAGAGAGAGAGAGAGAGACAAAGGGAATTTTCTAGGGAGACACGCTCGCTCCCGGCTCGGGCCGGGTGCCGCGCTGACCGAGTGAACCGCAGCGCAGCCGCCCGGAATCTAGGGCAGTGGGAAAGCAAGCGTGCTGCCATTGGGTGGGGGCCCCCGCCTTTGTCTGGCAGCCCCCTCCCCTCGTCCCCCTCCCCTCGCCGTGCCCCGCTTCCCCCGCTCTGCTCTGCCCGGCGTGTGCCACGGGCACACCCACCCCACGCCGCGCATCGCTTCCCAACTTTGCTCCTCCTTTGCTGCTGGGTTTGTTTCTCTTGGGTGTTTCCGTGGGGTTTTTTCCCCCCCTTTTCCTTTTTTTAATTTTTTTTAAATTTTTTTTTCAGCCGCCCGGAATCTAGGGCAGTGGGAAAGCAAGCGTGCTGCCATTGGGTGGGGGCCCCCGCCTTTGTCTGGCAGCCCCCTCCCCTCGTCCCCCTCCCCTCGCCGTGCCCCGCTTCCCCCGCTCTGCTCTGCCCGGCGTGTGCCACGGGCACACCCACCCCACGCCGCGCATCGCTTCCCAACTTTGCTCCTCCTTTGCTGCTGGGTTTGTTTCTCTTGGGTGTTTCCGTGGGGGTTTTTTCCCCCCCTTTTCCTTTTTAATTTTTTTTTTTTAATTTTTTGTTGTTGTTGTTGTTGTTTCATAAACAACTTTCATCGCAATGTGGCAAAGCGTAAAAAAATCGCCGCCGCGCTGGAACAAGGC